TCCACTTTTCAACGTCTACTCCGACGTGCGCATTAAAATCGCCCATCAATATGAGGGACTCTGTATTCGAACAGAGCATACTGCACTTCCTCAAGGAAGGTGTCATATTCATTCTTCCAAAATGGGCACACAGACCTGTACTAAGGTCAACGTTTTAGCGTGGTGTATCTTCAGTCAGAGGTTTACCACCCTTTCTCTGACAGGCCTCCAGTCAATGATCTAATCTGGGAGAATGGGTTCTATCAGAACAGCAACACCGGCCTGAGCGGTAGTGGTGATATCGACGCCGGAGTAGAAAAGCTTCCATCAGTTGAAACTCAGGAGTCCAAAACTTTGGCATTTCTTTGACGAGAGTTCAAAAATATCGAGTTGGTACTTTATGGCTTAATCAACTAACTCTCATTCTTTCCCTCTGAGTGAGGATATATTCGAATTACCGACTTTAATCTCCCATCCAGTGGTGTCGTTCTCGTGGGCCCTTTTCTGAGATGCTATAATGGCATGGTGCTGTCTGCCTCTTTCGTTCAAAACGTGTAGCGACTCCTTTGCTGACTGACATCTTCGTCGTCGTTCCGTGGGTCTTCTAGGTCGTTGTTGTTCTGCTACGCCCCCGGCTGGCAGAGGGCGATGAGCAGGTTCTGACCGTCAACTTATCGCAGTCTGCCTCAGTCCCTCAACAGCCTGCGCGATCGTTGGTAGCCTGGGAGAAGAACGAGCCAGTATGATTTTCAATGGCGTCAGTACCATGAGTGGCAGGTGGCGAACTTTCACGGAGACTTGCAACGGTCTGCAACCCTCCTCTTTCCTCAACCGAGCTTAGGCCCGGCAGGGACGGAAATAGCAGCAATGGCAGCGAACCGTTGCTTTCTTTATATAACCGTTGGTATTCATGTTGTTTTTAGTAGCAGTTTATTGCTTTTCAGCTTTCATTGCACCTGTTTGATAAAAATGATCCTCCAAGGCTCAGTGCGAATTAGTATTTCGGCAATGGAACAATGAAGTATCGACGGCGACGGACTTGCTACTGCGGCATGTGGTTGTTCGAAAGCTGTGATTGCAGTTTTTCGGGGAACTGAAATAAATTTGTTTACATCTACAGCTCATTTTTAGCCAGCCATCATTTGGGTCAAAGCAAGAGGCTGAACGTATCGTACAGAATGGACATAAGTATAATGTGTCTTAGGCTTTGGCATAACAATAAAAATTTTATTTTTATCTATTTTCATCATTAAACCAATTAATTTCTCAAGGACGAATACCTTAATCTTCACAGCGAATCGTGTTTTCTCGACTGTTACACTGCAAAAACCGAAGAAGCAACTTACGCCTACTTGAAAAAATGAATACACCCCATTTTTGAAAAAGCGGTTGAGTCACATTAAAAAATAAAACTATTGTTTTAAGCTCGAATACGAGAAAATTTAGCTAATCTGTAACTCAGTCCTTCATAGCCAAAAACATAAAATCTTGTGTTTGTTGGCACATAGCATACACCTGAGCTGCATCACCAGCCAGTTCCACGTTCTATGCGTAGATTGAAATTATTCATAAGTACATCCACGCCATGAACTATGCGTTTGACGTGATTCAGAAATAATCTCTATATCAGCGCATGCAGACTTTTGACAAACACCGTAAAAAGCGACAATTCTTGTTTTTCAGCTTTTATTTTCTGAAAGAGCTTGCGTCATAAAGCCTCACTAAGCGCTGACGGCATGAAATATCGAAATCACAATACTTCCGAATGCGCTTATATGGAGTACTACTATGAATGTTTTTCACTGTAACTGTGGCAGTTTCATAATTAACAGCTTAAACATAATACAGAAAATTTTACAGGACATAATCAACGAACTTTACATTCGCTTGCTGTATTAAATGAGCTCCCTAACGGCAGCATAAGTCCGAGCTAGTATGATAAGGGGCTGAGATTATATTTTAATTACTGAATTATACTGGGACCGAAATCTGTGAGTGAAGGCAAGATGTCCCTTCATTTTCGTACTAAATATTTGTGAAGAATTTAAGTTTGGCTTCAACCTCAGAATGAAAAGAGAGCAATGGCAACGGTTTGTATGTTCGGAATTTATTAATTTTTTGAAAATGTTTAATTAACATATATGATGTCATCCAACGAAGTTTAAGGTGGAACAAGGCACCGATCTGAACTTAGATTTTACAAACAAATTTCTGAACTAAATGCATTCAGTTTGTAGATTAAATAAATTTAATACGGATTGACGAGTGAGCGACCGCCATTCGGAGCAAAATCCGAAATGAATCGCCATCTCGCTACCTGCAGGAAAGACCGAGCTGTATAATCATCCCCTATTGCGATCACGTGCTCTACTGGAACCGGGTTATTAGCTGGAATTCACAGTCGCGACGGATGCAGTTTTTCAAGTGGTAGGCAAATACATACAGTAAGATAGATCACACTGAAAAACAAATAAACATTTGTGACGAGCCTGAAGCAGACTTTTCTGACCTAGGCCATAACCTTTTTCACAGGTCTCAATTCTTCTTTTCCTAATATTTCCTCCGTCTTTCCACAACACGTTTCCGTCAATGAGCACTGACACAGGAAATCGGTACTCCAACATACAGTGGGGGAAGGGGAACATGGATTATTCGGACTATATGAATTTGCGTGATTTCAGAACAGTCATCGAATGATCGCGCAGAAGAAACATGTTGTCAACAATTCTGCGGTTGACGCATGTCAGTGACTACATAACAGGGAAGCAAGCGAAAAAAATTCACCTAAAAAGACAC